GTTTTTTTTAGTCATTTATCTAGTTTCTTTACATGACCAATTTATGTATGTAAATATAATGACAATATGAGAATAACTGATACTTAATCATAAATCAACAAACAATATGGCTGTTTTAAAATTGAGGGTATTGGTAGGAAATGAACAAGTGGACATTTGGTGAAATTAGACAAGTAGACAACAATGTAGTTGAAAGTATGATCATGTGTACAACTTACCTTATTACCAAGGTCTTCATTTAAACATAGACTTGTTATGACGGACAGTGCAAATACTATCATTGTCAAATTACGATGAGATAAGTATTGAATTAATGCCTTATATACAGACTTTATGCTGTCCTGAAAAAATTTAATTAACAACATAATATAATAACTGTTGATGTCAGTAATGTTTACTGTAGTACATGTATATACATCAATGTGTTCCACGCAAGACTAATTAAATATTTCTCACTTTAGAATACAAATTAAGTTTACCTGAAAGTAAAGACATGCAATATGCAGGTTTTTTTCTGATTTCTAGACCAATGGCAGTTTTTTTTATTTATTTACTTCAGTGTGTTTCAAAACAATTTATCTAGTTAACACGTACCAGCAATTTTAAACTCACTTGTTATGAGATAACACTCACAAATGCACACACCCATAAAGGTTTCCCCTGATTTTAAATGGTCGACCCCTTTCATCTAATTCATACTACTGTCAAAATCTCAATCAACCATCTTTTATCAAATTCAATCCACTGTCAGAATTTCAAATGGTCAAACCAGTGGTCAATGTATTTTAAAAGATCCTAACCCTTACCATAGATTTGATATGTGCCTGTATAGAAACATTATTTTTACAAAGATTAGCCATCAATCCAAGGCAGGGTAAAGTCAACTGATTCTCTGTACCTTGTCTGCAAAATAAACAGGTTGAGAATGTGTTAAAAAAAGTTACTAAGCACTACTACTCCACTCATCTGACATAGCGTCCATGCTCAACTAAGCGCCCACCCTCCTCTTTTGGGACACCCTCTACATTGCGATACTAGAATATCTACGGAAATTTTTGAAGAATTGTGTCGGTACAGCATAGCATTCTGATTGGTTAGTAAAAGACTTTACCTATCAGGTCAAAATACATTGTTGCAGGCCAAATCATGCGAGAAAACATCATGGTGAAAATTACTTTATATAGAGTTTGCATACGATCATACACTTTGGACAATTGACTGTACTCACAAGATTTTTATAATTTTAACATCTTAAATTCTGGAGGCACATAATTAATAAGTGAGTGACCATTTCTGTTTTGTTTTTGTAAAAGTGTTGTGAAAATAAATAATGACGCAAATAATTTCGTAATTTTATTTTCCCAAAAAGACGTACCGTAAGAACTCCAAAATTTCGACCGCTCTATAAATTCGTCTACAGATGTTTTGGGTGAGTTTACGTAATTTTTCGACCTCCGAAATTTTGACCCTGCCCGGAAATGACGTTTTTTGCAACTCTGAAAATTCTACCAAACTTTCATATCTCGGAGCTCTTGGTAATTCGCACCAACCCTGTCAGATTACGGGTTTCTGTACTCCTGTACTCGTTGAGTGTGAGCGAGGTCAGGTTTGCTTCAACGTAATTTGCATGAACTAAAATAACATTTAAGTCACATGTATTTATTGTTATCTCTATGAAATTTATTATTTAATAAAAAAACATCAGAGTTTGTATTTGCTTTTGAAAAAAGAACGATTCGAAAAACCATCACAGTCTGTATTTGCTCTTAAAAAGGTCGATCCAGAATAAAACCGGACGCAACACTTTTGCCAGTCATTGAGAAAAACAATTTGCATATAAAGCAAAGGACAGCCCCCATTGCGTGAATCCGGTTCTGTGATTGCTTAGACGCTTGACTTGTGTCACCGTGGGGCCCCAGTGAGGTGATTACAATAAACGTGTCTATGTGACAAGTAGGCCTACAACAAAATAAAGTGAAAATTTACAGACGTGGGTGACCAAAGAGTACAGTATGATTATTACTAGAACGAGTACAGAAATTTCTTGAATGTAAGCAGAATGTCCCCGCAGGGAGCTGTAATGAGCGGGGTGTCTGTTTCCCGGAGCACGTTTTCATCGGCCAAGCTTCCATGCATTTAAAAAAAAAATTGACTAAGTAAATAAATCAGAAACTAAGCTCGCAAGCTCCCAACTTTAACACTTATTTGACTTCCCGGTTTGCGTATTTAGAAGCGACATGGGCCTATTCGCAGTTTATTTTCCCCCATGTAGACACCGCCAAAATCACAATTTCACTGCAGTGATTTTTCAAAGGACAGCGTCCGGTAATACCAGTATCACACATTTGGGACGGAGTGGTACACATCCGTTCGTTTGTAAAAACACTACAACACACCAGATTAAAAGTAAGACAATTTATTAAAAACTAGTCAGCCATAAAGAAATAAAAAACATGCGTTAACATAACTACTAATGAAAAAATTACACAATAAAAATACACACTAAAAAAAAAAAAAATGACTAAAGTAATGATTAAAAAAAAAAAAAAAAGAAACTTAAAAAACTTTAAAAAAACCATGAATAGTAAGTAATAAATCCCACTAACAGCAATAATAAAGGTAGAAGAAACCATTGTTAAAAAAGTAATAACAATAATGATGCGTTAATGCATTAAGGGTTAACAATTTT